CAATTGTCACAGGGACAGAAAGTGAGGGGAAATCTTCTGAACAGGAGCACACACAGCAAAACAAATGTTACAGGGAGCTATCCTAAACTAAAATCCTAAACTAAAAAAATTATTTGGGGCTGGTGTTACACTTAAAAAATTTACCTGTTCCAACTTACATACAAATTCAACTTAAAGTGACATTAAACCCTCAGATTTTTTAACATAAACCAATACTGTAATGTGTGCCTTACTGTAATCCATGGTAGTTTCCCTTCTCTTTGCTGCTCTTCCTTTTAAATCCTCATGTCTTCTCATGCTTGGGGAGAACTTCCCTTTGCAGCTCAGGGCCTCTTCCTGTAGTGCTGGCTCAGGTTACAAACCTATACACAGACACCATATATCCATTCCTGAGACAAGACAGTCTGCTGCAAAACAGAAGTTCTGCCCAGCATGAGAACAGATACAGATTTAAAAGGAAGAGCATCAAAGAGAAGGGAAACAACCATGGATTACAGTAAGGCACACATTACAGTATTGTTTTATGTTAAAAAATCTGAGGGTTTAATGTCACTTTAAGAACAAACTTTTCTTGTCACTTTCTTTATGATTCATATTCTATGACCTCATGGCCTCACACTCTTTGTTAGATATTGTTGATTAGGTGGTTATCATAACTATATATATAGGACCTGTGTATGTGTACAAAAGAAATACTGGTGAAATCACCTTAAGCTAACTACAGTAATCTTTCATACACAGTGCAACTCACAGTAGCCTAGGGAAAGAAGCAACGCATGTAGAAATATTGAAGGACTATTTTTATATTAAACTCCACTAATTTTCAGTGGCATACTGTGAATATTACATAAAGTGTATCTAAATCCCAAACTTTTATTTCAGATTTGGATATAATGATGGGTGGTAAAACCCCTGTAAGGTTTTTATTGCTGTCGGTGCATTTGTTAGGGAACTACACCCTCTCGATTTGCCCAGGTGACCATTGCCACTGGCACTGAAAGTGAGGAAGAAACCAACAGAAAAGGGTTAGAACCCATTAGGTTTTTATTGCATCCTGTGTTCCTGTTAGGTGTATTCATCTTCTATATTTGTCCTGTTGACTGCTGTCACCAGAACTAAAAGGTGAGGGAAAAATCCAGAATTTAAAGTTGTCACCAGAACAGAAATAGAGCAGAAATCTTCCAATGGGGACACAATAAGAGGCGATTTCCCTTACTTTGGAGCTATTTTCTCTCACCTCCTGTTTATAGAGAAGAAAATGAAGGGAAATCTCCCCAATGGGGCACAGATAGAAAAAAAAAAACTGATGGAGCTTTACCACTACACTTCCCTACACCATCCAAAAATGTAAAGAAATGTTTTGACTTTGGTCATACTTTAAATTGTAGTAACTTGAGAGGACTTTACCACTGTAGAGGGCATTGGTATTTCTCTGTGATTCTGACAATTTCTTGAATTTCTGTTTAGCAAGAGATAAACTGTTAAAATATTGGGAAGAACCAGTGGACGCATATGCGCCCGAACCACAACACAATTTGAACAAAGCTTCTGCCTTTTCTATAAGATAAAGATAACACAACTGAATGTTATCTCGTTTTGCAATACCTATTTGAGCAAATGCCAGGAGGTTTCAGTTTTGAAAATATACTTCTCCTTCCCTGTGGGCCAGTTTTTTTCCACATCTCTAGTTAAATACACAAGGAGTTATTTGAGGAAAAAAGAGAAATAAGAGTGGCAGTCATTGTATACATACACTGAGGCATCCCAGCAACACTTTATATGTACATGCTCATGTTTATCTTTACTAATAGGAACTGAGACTTACAGTTCCACCACCATCACCACAATGGAGAACTACAAGTACCAGCATGAAAGAATGACATTGCAATGTGAACTTTGTAGTTCCAGACTGAGGCTGGATATAAACCTCAGGGCACCGGTGCAAGAAACCTGATGAGCGGGTGATTGAGAACACAGGGGAGTTTTTTTTTATGGTGTCCCTTAATGCAATTTATGAGTAATTGATCCAATGTACAGTCGCGGAAATGCAGCAAAACGAGCAATGCCATTGCAGTGCCATTCATTTCTAATGGCCCCCCAAATGCGACTGGCAAGACGCACGTTTTTGCTCCAAATTTCTGTGTGTGAAAATGCACAGAAACATGGAAGCAAGAAACACGGAACACGTGCAGCGCAAACTACTACATGATCTTATTTGCTGTGTTTGTTGCGCGTATATGAACCCATTGAAACCAATGGGGACTTGCGACAAGCGCAGGGAACAAATGTGTGCGAACGCGATTCATGTTTGCACTACCCCGAGGTGTAAATGCGGGCTAAGGAGTTTGCAGAGTAGATAGAAGAATATGATTCAGGCACTGTATGCTCAAGGGGTTGAGAAGCTAGTGAAGCTCACAGAGAGAAAGCTTACAGAGAGCACACACACAGTCGGCTGAAATCAGCCGTACCAGCCTGAAGTGAATAGCCGAACAGTGTTCGGCTCACTTCACTTCTGATCGGTCATGCCCTCGGCAGCATTGTGAATAGACCCCATAGAGACACACATGTACACATAGACACACACATAGACGCACACACACATAACTGCAGCTTGGGAGTAGTAGGAAGTGTGGGGACAGGTGAGAGTGGGTGTGTGACGTGCCACAGAGAGGGGACACAGCAGGATTGACAGCTCCGGCCACAGTGTGGACTGATTGCCCCCAGCAGCCAATTAAATTAGGTCATCAGAGAGAACAGGGGGTGGGGCTGACATTATAGCAGCCGAAGCCTGGAGCCCCATCCACACTATATGTGATGTGGTGTGTCTGCAGTACTGGTGCTAAGATTTTTGGTGTTGTGTTCTGGGTGATTAGGGTGTGCCCAGGCACACCTGGCACACCCCGTGCGCATGCCTATGACTGTACCTAATTTTCAAGGGTGGTTCAAGGCCTTGGCTTAGAATCCTTGCTAATGTCTTTTCTATTGATCATGTAATCTGCTCTTTAAATTTTGTAGTCACTTCACTTTTTTTCATGTTTTTAGCCTTTTAAAGTATACTTTGTTTCAGAGACGTATATTAAATTGGAATAAAACTTTATTATGATAGGGACAGATAGAGTACATTATGAAAGGGACAGGTTGTGATTTAGTTTGAGTCTGTGAGCTAGGAGCTGTGATCTAGGAGCAAAGCACATCAAAGGACTTCTGCGGATTTATTCTTTGATATAAATACACCTGTGTTTGAAGATGTCTGCAGATGTCTTAGCAGCCACCAGGCAGTAAATTTGAATTGGCAAAAGGTTAGGTTCCCTGTACAGCTCTAAGTGGACAGAAGCAGAAAGGAAAAAATAAATAGGTTATATTTGGAAACTTGATTTACCAGTGTATATTAGGAGTGTGGTAAAGTGCAGCCCTTTTTGATCAGGCTGCATTTTAAGTATATTGCAGAGAACAGGCCCTGAAAGTAAAAACGGAGATGTTTTTCATGGCAACCAATCAAATTGCATTTTTTATCTTTTGCTAACTAAACAATATGAGAAAAAACAATGAGACAAAACTATTGTTTTGTCTCACTGATTGGCTGCTTTGTGAAACAGCTCCTTTTCATTTCCCACCATTACACTTTTAGATATATTAAAATGGTTAAAGTAACAAATGTTTCCTCTGTATTTTGCATTTCACATTTCAATCTATCCTGACAAGCTTGCTGAAGGTTTACATCCATGTGCGGTGGTAATAGGAATCTTTGTCAGGTATTTTTTTGTGTCCCTGTTGGGGGATTCCTCTTACTTCCTATGAGGTCAATTGGATGGAGCAGTGGGGAAACCACCTCAGGAACATAAACTGCAATGAAAACTGCTAGGGCACAGCACCTAAAAACAAAAGAAGAAAATGGTATAAGGGAATGTTATCAGAAAATTCTTTATTAAGACACATGAGGTGAATATGAAAATGCAAAACTGATTAGTTATAGTACCTATGCTTTCCATCTACATTAACATGTTACATTACTGGAGATAAGCAGTGCAGGGATACTGTGTCCAACCGACCTTAAATTATTTTTTCCCCGAATACCTCTTTAGCACTTATATCAGCCAAAATGGAACAGGTTGTTATGAACCTGTTCCAGTAGAAGTCATCTTATGCCTTCAGTAGAAGTTATCATCAAAGATAAAACACTCCTCTACCAATGGTAGTCTAACTACATAGTATAGGGAGCCTCAACTGTTCACCAAGGGGCAAAACTATAAAACCTCCGCCCAGTCATACGCTGGGCAAATCCTGACCACATGGAATCACCACCAATAGATGGAGCTGAGAAGCATAGGAATTCCTATGCTCCTCGGCTCCATGTAATGTCGGGAATGATGTGCAAACTGCATTTTTTCAGAGTCTGGCTGGGCAGACATTTTATAAATCATCCACATAATGTACAGTATGTGTAATGCTACAGACAACTGTAAGAGTCTTCAGAGATACTACATGGTCATAGTCTGTGGTAATGCTATAGGTATGGCTGGAGAACACATTGTGACCTCTGGGAACATGTTACAGCAAACTGCTAGAGATCACTGCTCTTTTAAAAATCAACGCTCCCAACCCCACTACAGACTACTGATGTTCAAAGGCAACACAAGTAACATGGGGTCACATGTGACCCCAGGGCTGCAGGTTGAGCACCAGAGCCATAGATCCATTACCTGACTGCTATAATTCGTTATGCATCTTCTTATTATGTTTTATACAGTCCTTTCCTGAAACAGAGATTTTCATTATAACCAAGCCACCTGCAAATCATCTCCATTTAAATGTAATTAAGGATGAGTGTATGCAAATTGGTCTCATGCAGCGATATGCTAAAAATCTTGCCAGTTGGGGGTCAGTAGGAGACTGAAGCTGGGAAAACACTATTCTAAGCAAAATTCAAAGAACAGTCTCTGGGGAAGAACACATAGGTTACGTGTATGATTTCATTGTTCTCTCCTGCTTTGTTTTTATAGATAAAGCTTCCCAATACTGACTGGTCACCTCAGAAGACACAGAAACCGGGCCTCAAAAGGTATATTTATTCAGCTCTATTGTCATTTGCTTTTTAATAAAAGACAATGCATTCTCTGGCAATGTATGAATAATGCATAATAATTACATGTGGAATGGTATGATTAGTAATGAGTGTACTATGAAATGTTTTTTCACTGTGCAAAGGTTGTTAAAATACGTGAGAGAAGAACAGGGCTGAATTCGGCAATCCTCATTCACGCAAACTAAAAAATAAAGAGCTTCATGAAATGTGACATGGCTACTTTCTTATTTGATCTAATACTTAAGCAGTCATTAATAAAGTGATTGCCAAAAATGTTATTTGGAGGAGAGCTTCTCCCGTTAATGATATGTGCTAGGAGGTTTAAAGTATATCTAAAGTCAAAATGCTTTTCTCTTTCATTTTGGAGTAGGGAATGGATAAACTGTCAGTTTTTTTTGTCCCATTCAAGAGGGTTTTCTTCATTTCCTGTCCTGTAAACACAACAGGAAGTAAGAAGATACAACTCTAAAGTGAGATACATTCTCTCTTAGAAAGTTGTCACTGGAACGAGTGCCCCATTGGAAAATTTCTACTCTGTTCCAATTCTGGTGGTTCAAAATTTGGGATTTTCCCTCACCTTTAGTCCTGCTAACAGCCATCAACAGGACAAAGCATGAAACAAACTGACAGGAGTTCTAACCCTTCTGTACTCTATCCAAAACAGAAAAAAAGTTTTGCATTTAGTTATACTTTAAGTCACATAATGGTGTGAAGAAGATGGTGGGCAAAGGTGGATGCTATGCTTCATTCTTTTAAAGCAGAACTATAGACAATGTGAGAGATTAGTAGCAAATGACAAGGGTACAATTCAAACATTGCAACCTTTTCAGTTCAGGTTGAGTGCAGGAACATACCACAGTGTCAGTTGTTTTCTTACCCATGATATATATATATTAGTAAAAAAAATCTCCCCTCCCAGGGTACATTGAACACGGCCCAGAACTTTCTGTTCCCTGGCTAACTGTTCCAGATGTTTATTGGCTAGTGCAGCCATTCAGCCGTGTGTGGAGCATTCTCCTCCTGGATTCAGCAGCACAGTCTTCTACCCTGACAGCCCACCTTTTTAAAACCTGTGATTTCTAACCCAGGTACAAAACCTCTAATTACCTGGTGGCCAGGAAGACCACTCTCTCTCTCCCCCGCCACAGACCAGAACCATAGAAATAAAAGTCTATTTACCTGCCTGTCTTCCACTGTACCCTTTCACTGTAAAAAATGCCACAATCTGGGTGCAACATGCACCCTGTCCAGGACTACCCCTTATCTATTTATGTACTCAATAAAAAAACACAAATTAGTTTATTAGTTTCTAAATAGAACCACATTTACTATTATATCAGGTTCTTATAATCCTCTGTAGTGCAGAGCACAGACGGGGAAAGAAAGCGGCAGTACTGTAAGCCAATCAAACTCTGCTCTTGTGCACAATGGTGTCAATATAACATAAAGGGGCTGTAGTTAGCAGAAGGGAGCAGCAGATGACCTTGTCAGTGAGCTGTTACTATTCCATTATCCAGTCACAGGCACAGACTGGTTTATGAACAAGCTATACTGCTTTGACTAGTAGAAAAGAAATGTGGTCATGGATCTATCTGGCTGTGTTGTACTGGTAGAGGTAAGTAAATTAAATGAGCTAACATCCTCTGGCAAATAAATCACTAAGGGCCCATTTACACCCAAAACTTTGCCAGCGTTACATTTAACTGGAAATGCAAAAAATAGGGCAAGCTCTATTTTTTGCGTTTTCAGTGGAACGCAACACTGGCAAAGTTTTGCCAGGCGTTCGATCGCACTGCGGGGCGTGGAAGCGGTGCCATTGAATACAATGCACTGCCACGCCCTCTCGCGCCCCAAAACGCGGGAGAAGTTCCACAGTGATCGTGGTGCGTTCCAGCAGCTACAGCTCTGGAACGCACACGATTTCGGTGTGAACAAGGCCTAAGTATTTCAAAATGTATTTATTCACTTGCTTATAGTTCTGCTTTAATGGTAAATGCTTTGTTGTATTTTTATAGAATGAAAACTGCTGCTTGCCTAGCATCTCTTCAAAAGTAACATTTAATGGTTTTGTGTGAATATTGTATATATATTTTGGGCAGGTAAATATTGCATGAATATTTTTTCGGTATTTAACACATGCAGCCAGCTGGTGGTGCACTTAAAGCAATTCTGGTGAGCAGGGGCATATTGGCCTCATAGCAAAACTTGGCCAATAGTGTAGTTTGAGATGAAGTGGGCAAAGGATTAAATACCCTGTCTGCTTTTTACTGCTATCATGGGCCCCCCTCAATTCCTGCCCTGCTAACAACATTTTATGAGACAGTAAAAGAGGGGAACTCTCAAACAACAAACACAGACAGAAATAAAAATTATTTTCTATAGTAAAGTAGGGAAAACTAAAGCAGTGTTAGATTTAAGTTATCTCTGTGTTCCCGTTACAGATGTCCCCTTACTTCCTGTTGTCAGCAAAACAGGAAGTGAAGGGATATCTTTCTAATGGAGCACCAGAAAGCAGTAGAAACCAGACAGGAGTTTTAATCCTTTCTCACTTTATCCACTGTTTTTTATGCTTTAACATAAAGTATGCTTAAATAAAGGACAGGTTACAGAAGAGCTGTCAATATAGTCAGTACACTTTTTGGGGATTACAATTCCATTTATGCAAGATAATATAGTTTCCACTATATTACCTTACAGCTGTGGCTCTCATACACATAATCCGGACTGTCCTTTATCTTCCTCTCCTCATCCCCTTGTCCATTCACAGAATGGCTTTTTTTTTTTTTTTTTATATATATGTTACACAGAGATGAATGAGCAAGGGAAATGAGCATGTGAATGAGCAAGGGGAGAGATGGAGCAGATGAACAACAGCTTGGCTTCTGTGTATTAAAGCTGCAGAAAATACTATTCTATCCAGCATAGATTCAATTGTAAATATAAAGAAAGGACAGTGAATTTTAAGTTCTGTGATAGTTTGACTGACAACTACTCTGCCATGCAACACTGTACCCTAATGAATTTTAGATCATTTTTGAGACAGATATAACTTTCTTTTGGGTGTATTTAATAACCACTTTGTTTTTATTTTTTACTATATAAAGGACAAAAAAGACTAAACATTTTGAAACAAAAGTTTCCCTTACTATCTAGTAGAAAACATATCACATAACTATGACATGACAGTATAAACACCCCCCAAATGACCCCTTTTTGGAAAGTAAACAATCCAAAGGTATTTTAATTGCACCCCCATTATTGGTGGACACTGGCCCTTTTGCCCCTCCTCCTTTGATCGCAGACTTCCTCCATTTCTCCACAGCAGCCAGGTGGATTTAATTGATGAATTAATTAAATAAATCCTTCCTCTGCCCTTCCTGTGTTGTGAGAGGAAGGGGAGGGATTACCTATGTAAACAATATGTTGTTTATATTGGTGATCACAGAGATTGGTCATCTCTGCTGTCCAATAGAACAAAAAGAATGTAAAGGTATGTCCAACTACCCTAGTAGGGGCATTGTCTGGTTGTTCCATTATGGCAAGTGGCTAAAGTGTATTTCCACTTTAGCAGCCACATTGGTATAACAATAATTTTTTTACCATAATTAACCCTGTCTGTACTGTGCTGGCAGATTACATTATCAGTTGAAAACAATATCTACTATTGTCCTAATAAAGGGCTATATATCTCAAAGCTTGGGTTCTGCAGTGTTCCCCTCAATTTTTGCTTTAGCTTGCAGTCTGCCCAAAGGACCACCGAAAAGAGACAACTGGAAAAATATTAACTTTTTTAAATATATTTTTATATATGCTGTTTGAATAGGAACACATAACAAACATAAAGCGTTTTATCAAATTTGACTGCAAACGTGGAAAAACAGTGTAAACTGTGGCTTGTTTTACAGAATTACACACCTCAAATTAATTTTTTGCTTGGGAGATACTCTGGGAATTATTTAGCCTCAGGAAGACGGTAAAGCTGGCCATACACTGATCAAATTTCATCTGTTGCTTGCTGTATAGACCAAAATTCGATCAGTGGGTGCAGGCCCGTCTTTAACGCAGGGCAAAAGGGGCAGTTGCCCTGGGCCCAGTCATTGTTGTGGGGCCCAAAGCAGCTGCCCCTTGAGCCTGCACTGCTCACTTCCTACCTGGAGATGCGGGATGTCAGTGTCCCGTCTCTTCTCACCCTCACCCTCCCCTTGCAGAGAGGCAGCAGAGATCAGAAGATCAGGACCTTTTTTGAATCAGCCCCTGTCTGCCTAGCAACTGATGATGCTGATGGGCGAGCTGTCATAATTACGTACACCGGCCCGCCCATCATCAGTTGCTAGGCAGAGCAGACAAAAGTCCTGATCTACCGATCTGCTGCCTGTCTGCAAGTAACAGCAGGGGTTAAATGCAGGAGAACCGATCATATCTGCCTAGAACAACTGATCGGTCTGAAATATCACTTCTATCAGACTTTGTGAATGCCGCAGATGGGGGTGATTCACAAACAGTAACTGCAGGAGTGTTACAATCAGCGAGCACCGCAGATATATTTTTTATATATCTGCAGCGCTGGCTGATTGTCACACTCCTTAAGTTACTGGGCCAATCATTTAAAAAATATATAAAATGAATTAATTGATTTGGGATGTTGGGGTGGAGAGAGAAACTGCATGGCAGTTAGCGGGCTTGGCTTGGCCCCCCGCCCAAGAAAATGTTTGCCCAGGGTCCAATCAATATCAAAGACGGCCCTGAGTGTGTGGCCCAGCACCACCTGGCTGCACAAAAGTTGACTGGAAAGTCGAAGAAGCTGGGCAAAAAAACAGTGACTGCAACTAAACAACTGCAGTCACCACATTGCAGTAGGACATTCTGACAGATGGCACCGTGTTATCTAGCAAGGGATATTCCTACATGCATGTTGTTTAGCATGGGTGGGGGAAATGAGTGATCTCCTAGTTGGCTGAATGAGAATAATCTAAATGTGTATGGCGAGCTTTAGGCATACAGGGTTATAATTAGGGAGCTGGCCAGAATGACCAGAAGCTCAGAAGGCAAGAAATCTTCTCACAGATGAGGCGAAGAAAGGGTGATTTGTGACTAGCAGCAGCATGAACCCAAAGAATCTTTTGGGCATCTGACAGTCAACTCTTATAGAATGGAGACTTCAGAGGATCAGGGTTAATTATACAATACTAGATCTATGTTATGTTTGCTTGCACACTAATTGTCTGTCTTTATTGCCTCAACAACCTGCCTAGTGGGGCCCCCTCCCACTCTCGGGCCCCATAGCAGCTGCCTGAGCTGCTATGGCTGTGGTTATGCCACTGCCACTGAGTCACAATTTGAAAAAAAAGCTCAGTTCATTAAACTAGTAAACATTACAAAACTAGTAACCATTATAACATTAAACAAAATAAAATTAACCAAAAAGCTGTGGAGTATTTCCACTCCCTCCCATCCTTTATTGCAGTTTACAGGGGCAGTGCTAGTAGCAGAAGTTACAGCACAGCTGTTATGCACAGAGGATGTTGGAGAAAGTTCAGTAAGTCTTAATGAGAAAGGCCTACTACTTGCTAAGACCTCATGCTTGCTAAACACTCTTTTCTGTTCCTACAGTTCCCTCTTTGTGGATTGTTCTCATTTCCCTATAACCCTATATGCCTATCCTATATTCCCTACATACCTATCCATAAATAAAGTAAAGCTCAGTAATGCAAGAGGTGAAGCTTAAAATGACCTTTCCAGAATACTGTAAAAACTTAAATATTGGACAATAGAACAAAATTTCATAACCACTTATGGTATGAAAATTATGCATCTGTCCTGCTGTTCTTGATAAATGTTGCATTCAAATTTGATTGATGACCACTTTAACTACTTGTCCAAAATTGGAATCTTTCACAAAAGGCTGTCAGAAAAACTTTACATTTTAACTGTTAAAGCTCAACTTCTGCCAAGTTTTTGTTTTGTACTGGATAGTGCAAGAAGGGTTTGAACCACTGTCTGAGTCTCTATTGGAGAAATTTCCAGATTATTTAAAGGGTGCTAGACAGAAAAATAAATGAGGGGATGTCTCCTTCACAGGACACACAGAGTAATAAAACATATTTTAGTGGAGTAGGAAAGGGGTGGGAACCTCAATAATATTTTTTTGTTGTCTGTGCCCCTTTCTGCAAGATTTCTTCTCTCTTCCTGTCCAGGTGATTGGACACAATAAAAGAATGGCAGAAGTTCAAGCCCTTCCCGATCCCTGTTTAAAGCTCATTCTATTAACTTTAAAAATCCACAATTTCCAGTCCTGGAAACAAGTGCATCCATTGTATATTAAATATGCCCAAGTTTAAACACATCAGATGCATAACTGAAGCAAATGGGGGTGTGGCTGTTCCTGTGTCCATGTGATTGGATCATGAAACTGGACATTGAGATTGTCTTCCTCTCCATTATGCCTTTGCTTTCAAGAGAGTTTGTGGAGGCTTACAATTTAATAAAAAACTTTGTAGATGCAAAATTTTGACATAATCATGCTATATCCATGATGATGTCCCTTCCTCTTAGGACCTGGTTCACACCACAGTGCACTGCCCTAAAGATTGTGTACTGAAGCGTATTGTGGTACATTGCATTAGCCAGCCCATTAAAAATGAATGGGCTATAATGTACCTCATGAACATTTAGTGCATGCTGCAGTTTCTGCAGTGCAGCGAATCACAATGCTTACATTGTGGGTTGCAGAGCAGGTGTGTAAAATTACTTTGTAAAATTAATGCCACCACAATGCACCAACGCATGTACGGTGTGTATTCGGAGCTGCAGTAACTAGCATGTTTTACTGCAGTTTACTGCAACATGCTGTTCTGAAAGAGCCCTGTAACTTGGTGAAAGTTCACTTCTTTAAATGTATTTTAAAGGTAAGCTGTTATAGAAAGAATGCATGGAGTCATTCAGAGTATCTGAAGAGAGGGAGGGGGATGAGTCACTCCTCTGAATCATTTAGCTGTGTAATCTAATCTTCATCTATTTAGTTTAGTAAAACAAAACTTTTTTTTTACCTAAGCAGTTAATAGTAGCCTGGTAACCTTGTGAAAAAAGTGACCAGTGTGCCATCTGCTGGCTGCAAATAAACATGAAATCTTTATATGCAATATTTCATATTTGTCTAAAAAAATTACACATCATATATTTTTATGATACATAAAATACCTATGCCACTCTAAATTTTATTTAATGAAAATAACTTTTAATATGAAAGAAAAATATTTACAATACAATATTATCAATATGAAATATATTAATGTACAATTGGAGACAGAATATAAAATATCTTTTTTTGTTCTTGATCTCCAGTTCACAGAGTCTTGAAGATCTTGGAACTCGAAAAGGTGTGAAAAAAGATCATGACAGACTACGTACACTAGTTTCCCCAACTGGTCTGTATACATACATTGCCCCTCCCCAGTGGTCTTAAACCAGTTCAGACAATTTCCCATCCCTCTGTGTATGTCCCACCTCTAAAAGTCTGGAATGGTCATGTGATTGGTCACTGGCAGCCCAAGCTGTATTGATGCATTGTTAACTACAGGAAGGATGAGATTGTTCCTGAAATATTACACATTACCTGTGAGTGCATATGTCCAGCAAAATACCCAGGGGTCAACAGGGAGTCATTCTCAAATCTTACATCCAGATCACCAAATTATCATTAAAAGAAATCCCTGATGAGAGAAATATGTAAGCTGCAATTGCTGACCTCCTTCTGTAAAGGCCTTGTTGTCATGCTGATCAAATGACTTCAGTAGTTTCTGAGTATCTGACCCAGAACAGGCATGCACCAAGTGAAGCTAATTAGAGTTTAGCTTTAAATATAGAAACATGTATTGTGTTCAATGAGAAGGATTAACAATGTCTACAGTGTGTGTGGGTTAAGGTTCAGCTCCACCCATAACTGTTTTGTTTTGAATAGAGCTGGTAACGGTTACAATTTCTGTCAGGTTCTTTTTGCTATGTAAAGGTATATTGATGTCCTCAAAGGCAGCATTTCTTGACCTTTTTTTAGCAGTGTCACCTTTTAAAAGTATGCAAAATATTGAGGCACCCCAGTCTAAAATGTAAACATTGTAAATGTAAAAACCAAAATGTGGTTTCCCCCAAAATCTATAACAAATCTTTATCCTAGATAGGGTCTGGTATGGGTTTTAAGGGGGGGACCCTACACAAAAAACAACTCTTCACATCTGAGTCCCCATTTTATATCAGCAAAGCCCTTTCAGATCCACCCCCCCCCCTTTCACGTCAGAGTACCCGCTTCACGTCAGGAGCCCTCCTTTTACATGAGGAGCCCCCCCCCTTAACATCAGAGTCCTATCTTTTAATCTTCCCCACAGACAACTTGGCAGAGGGCAGGACATGGGACAGGTCTGGACAGCGGTGGACTCCTGCCCTCTTCGGAATGCTCATGGGGATCCTGAATGTAACCCCGTAGATTAGCTTTATGCATTTCCACAGTGCTGATGGCTGGCTTGCCAGCACCAAGGAAATGCATGACACTGAAACATTTGAGGGCACCCATGACAAAGCCAGAAGGCACACTAGTGTGCCACAGCACCCTGGTTGAGAAAGGCTGCTCCAAGGTGACTTTTAGCAACCATACTAATACCAATGGTGACTGATGCCTTTGTATGAATTGGAAAGGAGAATACATTTAGAGAGGGTTAACACCCAACCATATCAGATATGTTCCATTGCTGTGTTGCGTTTCCAATCATTTCCTGGTGACCAGTGGTCTCCCCATCTGGGTCAGACAGCAATAAAACGTTGGAGGGGTTCCTCTGTTTCCCTGCTTTAGCCAAAACTTTTGGCTATACAGTACATACACTTTAACTTTTTTACATTCTATCCAAACCTAAACAACTAACATTTGTTTGCGTTAGGCTTTAAAGTTCCCATGCCTGTACAGAACTGTAGCTAGTTCCTACTCTCTACCAGACATTTGAAACTGAAACTACATTGTCATTTATTGGAACTCACTAGGTGTGCGTGGAGGGGCAGCAAGGTGAATGTGGAAATATAATTCCCTCTCTCCAGGCCTCTGTTCTGCCAGTCAACAAATTTAAATAGAATAAAAAAAAAAGAATCCCTTAATTGTCAGTAATTAACTCTATATAATCATACATAGAGCCCCATGTAATCAATCCTCTTATTTTTTTGTATGACTGCCTGGATTGCCAGATGTAAATAATAAGTTGTGCTGTTGGTAAAACACATGGATGAACATATTCAGCAGGTTCCATCCACAATTGGAAAATAGGGTTTGGATGGACTCGCTAAATGCTGTAGTGTTAAACCTGGTTCTATTGCTGTGACATCTGCATATGAGTTCCTGGGTGTGCATAACTGCCGTGGCCATTATATAGGGTCCCAATCTCCTTGTTTTTCTTATTATATTTTATATTATAGAGAATGCAAAAGGGGAATGCTGGAAGATGCAGAAGTGGGTGGAAACATCAAATGTTCTAAGGTGGAAAGACACAGTGTCCGGAATTATGGCAGGGAAATCTTACTATTGGAGTACCAAATACATATAGAAATCCAGCCTAACAGATTTCACCTATAACTGAAATTTCATTTTTGGATGTTAATAAATATAAGGATATTGGATGCATTCTCACAGAAATCTCTCAGATGAACCAGTTTTGGAGGGACTAGGTGACTAAAGGCTCAGCTCCAGCTTTAGAAAAATAAATTTCTAGTAGAGTGGCAAATAGAATGTCTGACAATCTTTTATGACTATGCCTTCCTGTCTTGGTAACAGTTGCCCCCTTCATTTCTTGTACGGGCATCACAGGCACAGCAAGTGGGGGAACATTTCCCCAGTGGGGTCACAGGTAGAAATAAAAACTTGACAGAAAAATGTTACCTCTTCCCCAACTCTATCCAAAGCTGAAACACACACGCACACACACGCACACACACACACACACACACACACACACACATACATATATATGTATATATTGTATATATTATATTGGCTGGAATTTGGCTTTAAATAAGCAAGCCTGGTGACAGGTGCCTAGTTAGTACCTTCCAAAATTCTTAAATTGCTTTGTGGCAGCATAGGGAGCTCTCTGATCCTTGGTGATATATAGAGGACTTAATGGCTGCTCAGACCCTTTCACAACTCCGTGGCTAGTGTATGTAACTGCTAGTTGGGCACATTGTTATACTGTTGCCTTTATTTTACTTGACAGGTTCACTTTTAATACTTTAAAAAAATATTCTCAAAATCTATTATTTGTGGTGAGTGGACTAAAAATTGTGCTTCATCCCTGATTCATACATTTACAAGTTGAGGCAATCAGGTTTGCATTCCCATCCATTTGTATTTGATTATTCTCCTTTTCCTATTATAATCAGTAGTTAGAGATGAGTGAGCAGCTATTCATTATACCTTTTCAGTGATAACAAAGGGGACCAAAAAATACTGTAGGATTTGTGCCAGGCTTGTGCTAAAATAGCATGCCACCCACATTTTATAGCATGACCAAAATTTGCTAAGCAGAGCAGTGTTCGGGTCAACTGTTGTCGTATACGATTATTAAGATATGTAGTACTAACTGTTTCTTTTTAAACAAAGAACAACACATGGCATAGGCATATTAAAGCCCCCTATAGCTCCTGTATGCATTTCCTTGAAGCCCAATTGTACCTTCATTATTTATTATTGGACTGGAGCCAGGCTGCACTTTTTTTTTTACACTGCTAAGTACTGTAGCAAAGGGTTAAATACCCTCTTACTACCTGAGTGGTGCTGATGGTTGGAGCAGTGTGCGTTGCATATCGGACTGCTGAAGAGCTTTGTGTGAAAGAGCCATGGTCGGACTTTCCTGTCTGCTACCAGAGCATACTATTTTAACCCTTAATGCACCAGTAAGCAGTGTAAAAAAGTAAAGGAGTCCCATATTTGCTACTGTATATGCAGCCTGGCTTACTTTACAGTAATAAAAAATGAGGGTTCATTTGGGCTTTATAGTGGCTCAAGGGAAGGATGAGGGGACATTGCTGCAGGTATGAAGTGCACTTCATATATCCAGCAGTATTCGTGTTCCCCTGACAGAGTCTCTTTAAATCTCTTTTTCATAAGAACAGTTTGCAATCCATTTAGTGTCATTTTATTTTCTTCCGCCCATCCGCTAATCCATTTCCAACCAGAAACTAACAGAAATACTTGATGATGCCAAGTATAGGGATCATGTGACTTCCTTTCTTTCTGCCATGTGAAAGTGCAGGTGATTGGCCTTGCATTCTCACATGCAGGTGGGGAGAGATTGCAATTTAAGAGAGCGAAATCTAAGGTTTAGACCAGCCGTGCCACTCCAGCTGTGGTGAAACTACAAATCCCATGAGGCATTGCAAGACTCTAACAGCCACAGGAATGTTTGCCAGAGGCAGAGGCATGATTGGATTCATAGTTTCACTACAGCTGGCATGCTGAGTTTGCCTACGCCTAATTTAGATTGAATCAACAGCCTGTCTCCTGATTTCTGAGAGCTCCCTCTACTGACAGTTGGGAGCCGCTTCTTTTGAAGCATAACAGGATGTGCTCAGATCTTTTCAACTTAGGTACTGTGTCCCATTTAGTTTTCTGTGCAGCATGTAGACAGTGACAGCTGAAGGATTTGCACTGAGGTGCAGTTGTCATTTAAAGACACACACCACTGACCAGTTAAAAGGTGTTCAGTGAGGTCTACAGGAAATGTTTACTAAAACTAGCCACTCTGGCATCTGCCACAGTTTCTGGTCCAAGTCTGGGAGGCCTTAATAGACAATGATTCCTAGTAATGTAATATCTTGGTTGAATGTGAAGCACAGGTTCCTAAATCATTCCTTGGCTTCTTTTATGTCTTGGGTACTCCAACAAGATCCTCATATAATTTTTCCCAACAGGGATTGTGGTTACAGCAGTGGTATAGACCCAGGAGATCAGGTGCATATAACGGAAAATTGTATACTTACCTATCGGTCATTTTCCTTCTTTCCTGACTCCAATACATGGCAGCATACTGTGTATAGCTCCGCCCCCGCCCAATAACAGGACTGGTTATAGTATAAATTAAACACGCCTCCCAAGGCAGGCAATCTCGTAGCAATACTCAATGCGAAAGCCATGGGAGGGTCCAGTATGCTGCCATGTATTGGAGTCAGGAAAGGAAAATGACCGGTAGGTAAGTATACAATTTTCTGTTTTCCTGACTCCAACCATGGCAGCATACGAATGGGACATAGCACGCCAAAAACCAGGGAGAGTAATGCTAAGATATTTATTTATTTAACTTGCACAGCTGTTAAACACATTCCAACCAAACTCCACCCTTGTCAAGACTGCTGGAAAGACCCTGTAACGGGACAGGAACCTGTCATACATGGAGGC